TGCAGGGACCTCACTGACCTCCTCCTACTCCGTGGGGTTGAACTGAGTGTCTTGGTCAACAGCGGCTGAACATGAGTCAGCAGAGTGCCCAGGTGGCCAAGAAGGACAAGGACATCCTGGCCTGAGTCAGCCATAGCATGACCAGTAGGACCAGGGAAGTTCTCTTCCCCCTGTGCTGGGCACTGGTGAGGCTGCAGCTCGAGTGCTGGGTTCAGTTCTGGGCCACTCACTCCAAGAAGGACATGGAGGTGCTGGAGCGTGTCCAGAGAAGGGCAGCGGAGCTGAGGAAGGGTCTGGAGCACAAGTGTGCTGAGTTCCCGGCTGAGGGAACTGGGGTTGTTGATCCTGGAGAAAAGGAGGCTGAGGGGAGACCTTGTGGCTCTGTCCAAGTCCCTGCAAGGAGGGTGTAGAGAGGTGGGGGTGGGTCTGTTCAACCAAGGACCAAGGGACAGGACAAGAGGAAATGGCCTCAAGTTGTGCCCAGGGCAGTTGAGATGGGATGTGAGGAAGAATTTCTTTCCTGGAAGGGTTCTCAGGCACTGTAACAGGCTGCCCAGGGCAGTGGTTGAGTCCCCATCCCTGGAGGGATTTAACAGACGGGTAGATGAGGTGCTCAGAGATCTGGTTTAGTAGTGGACAGGTACGGTTGGACTCGATGATCTCAGAGGTCTTTTCCAACCAGGCGATTCTGTGATTCTCTGTAGGCAAGAACCAGTGGTGGGAGACAGGAACCTCCTGAGCCATTGGTACTGCTGATGTGAATGTCATGTGCAGATAACAGCCATAGGAAGGATGGTGTGTCAACCTATTTAAAAAGTTCTTCACCCTGGGACGGAGCCCAAGATTTTCTGCCCTGATCCATTCTGTTCTTTGCCTCGTCCTAGTTTCAAGTGGGTTAAGAGTGATGTACATGAAACAGCACAACTGAGAAGGTGCTTTTTTGGGAGATTTGTGCTGTTTTAACGCTCACTGTTGAAGTCTGGTGTCTCTGCTGTGATATAATGCAATATTTCTTTGCCCCTTTACCTTCTCCTGAAGACCTTGTAGTTGATTGGGATGTTTTTCTCTTCCTTCTTTAGGTCTTCGGGTGAATGGGGAACTCATTACTGCTTACCCACAAGTGGTGGTTGTGCGTGTACCAACACCTTGGGTCCAGAGTGACAGCGATATCACAGTCCTTCGCCACCTAGAGAAGATGGGCTGTCGATTGATGAATCGTCCCCAAGCCATCCTCAACTGCGTCAACAAGTTCTGGACGTTTCAAGAACTTGCTGGTCATGGTGTGCCTCTTCCAGACACTTTTTCATATGGTAAGGCTTTTGGATCAAAGGATAGCATAGTTGCCTGCCATAATTTGTGCTTTTGCAGTGCAGAAGTTTTGGAAATCTGTAGAACTAAGTAGCATGAGGCTAGTTCGACAGATAAGTGTTCAGTAACCAGAAGAGAAAATTAAAATCACAGCACTCAGATTCTGGTTTTGGCTTTGTTGATGAGCTTTGGGAAGAGTGCTTTAACTGCACCTCCACCTCCCAAGTGTCTAACTTTGGCTGTTACTGCTAAAATGCTTTGAACTCTTTTCCAGTTGTCCAAAACAACAGACAAAAGCTTGGAGAACTAAATGTCATGTAAAGATCTAGACTTTGGTAATACCTGAAGGTAGATTAATCTTATATATGAATAAAAATATCTTCAAATATAATAGTTACCGTGAAAGGACAAAAAGAGTACAGGCCCTTGTGTTTAACTTTTCACAATTGTTTTGGGTTTGTTTCCCACCAGAACAGTTAACTATTGAAGTTTCTTGTGCCTGTCTCTGGAGTTGATGGTTCCTGACGGAGTGCTCGGTTAGGGGAACCATTTGTCTGAACTACCCTGATGCTGTTTCTGCTTTTAATTACAATATATTGAAGAACTGGAACAGGTTGCCCAGGGAGATTGTGGCTGCTCTTCCCTGGAAGTGTTCAAGGCCAGGTTGGATGAGGCTTTGAGCAACCTGGTCTAGTGGAAGGTGTCCCTGCTGCTGGCAGGGGGGTTGGAACTGGATGGGCTTTAAGGTCCCTTCCAACCCAAACCAGTCTGGGATTCTATTCTATGAATTGAAGGTATGTCTCAGCCTTCCTTTCCTTCTTGGGAAATACCAGTGCTTTCCTCTTCTTTGGAGCTTTGTTCATGGAACCTTGACAAAAACACAGACTTACTTGACAAAAACAAAAATATGGGTTTCCATCAGTTCCTATGAATTACTATTTCCATCAATTACTGTGAAAAGAAGAAATATACTCTTTCTTTATAGCTATGGTTGCTCTAGCTCTTTGACAAAAGAATGAGGTTTTAGAGCTTTTTTGGAGGAAGGGGAGACCACGAATGACGGGGGAGTTGCAGAACTTCTCTGTTCATAACGCCCTGCCACTTCTTTTTAATGCCTGCCTCTGGAATTTGACAGAAGCATGACTTTTTTTCTTTTTTTTAAAAAAAACCCCACAGTATCAAGTTATCAGTGAGAGCTGACTTTGCCAGGAAAAACAGGATGTGCTGAATGACATGTTATTCCATGCCACGATTTAAAATCCATGGCAGGGTAGTGATGGCTGCTGCTGGCTTTGTGACCAGTGTCTTGGCTTGACTTCAGCACTTTACAGCACATGCTGTTAGAGGACTCTCATCCCTTTGTCTCCTGACTTTCTCTTCTGTATTTCTTGTTCTGTGGTCAGCCTTCTGTGAATTGAACTGAACTCAAATAACCTTGAAATATCAACCATAATCATGTGAATGGTCATTAAAAGCTACTCTGGAAGGTCCTTACGGATGCAATGAGAGGAAAAGGTTAAAGTACTACTTCAGGAGAATGAGATGCAGGAGATTTAAGCCTTGGAAAGTGGAGTGACAGGATTTGGGTTGTTGCTGCTCTCTGTCTTTGCATTCCATATTGCTTTCCTGGTTAGGAGTTTGGATGGAACTGTTACTGGTGTTATGATGTCTCTGCTATTTTCCTGCTAGATGTTTGAAAAGGTGGGAGTTGCTAAAGTAAAACTGGATAAACTGGAACAAGATGGTAGATCGGGACATTCAGATTTGGAAGATTGGATTGAGCCTTTTGGGGCTGTGATCAAGAGGCCTTTTGTCAACTTGTGTCTTCCATTTTGAAGGAAGTAGGAGTTAGTATCCACCATATTACAAACACCTTCAACGTCTGATCATGCTCCATGGCCAAGTTCCTCTTAACTGATATTTTTTTTCTGCATTATCTAAAGCTGTAAGGGTGGGAGGAATGTATGGCAATTACATCCCCAATTTGGCCACACCAGATTGGTGCCACATAACGTTGTTGGTTTTCTTTTTGCCAGGTGGTCATGAGAATTTTGCCAAAATGATTGATGAGGCGGAAGTGCTGGAGTTCCCTATGGTGGTGAAGAACACACGGGGTCACCGAGGTGGGTGTGAGGTCAGGGGTGAGGGCCAGGATATTCTGAGCAGCGCTCCGATGTTGTCTCGTCAAGGGATGATAGTTAAGAAAGTCTTCTATTAGGTGCTGGACTTCTTTGAGCTACATCAAAATTCGACCTCGCTTTGACTTCTGAATGCTGAGTAGGCTGCAACATTGGGAAGCACTTTTAGTAGAACCTAGTCTTGCAAAAGCAGGGAGGGATAGGGGTTCAAAATTATGGTGCATAGGTGACTTCTCTGAGGAAAGCTTCGAACCAGAATTATGGAAGGTCTGGCCTAAAGGAAGCAGACAGAAGCCAACATGGATTTTAGGGATGTCTAAATAGGCATAAGAAGTGAAATCTTAGTTAATTCAGTCTTAATTTGACTTTTTTTCTACTTGACTTTGTCTCTAATCAGGATTCTGATTCAAGTAAAATCTCATGTGTTGTTTGTCAAACTGGATCTCTTGTTTTTCAAAACAATATCTCTGAGAGTGCTGGTGATAATACAGCAGATTCAGCTTAAATTGTTCTGTTCTCAGTCTTCTAGAGTGTTGCTTATGAGACAGTACATCAATTTTGTTGAGTGTTAGATAGTGATCTAAAGGAAACCAGGTTTGAAATCCATTCCAGAGGTTATTTACACCGTTTTAAATTTGCTTTAAAAAACAACTCAATGAGTACTAGAAGTAAAAAGAGACTGAAACCAAAGTTTAAGCACATCAGCCAGCAGTTAGGTTAAACAAAAGCATAACGAAAAGATACCACTTCTGTTGTCCTTCGGTTTGTTCCCACTCTGTGCTGCCCTGGTACATCTCTTCTGCTGGCAGGAGTGTTTCTGTAGCCATGTAGTAAATGGCTTCAGGAACTGATGGTGGATGAATCTAGATGGGTTCTTTTTACTTGGATACTTGGACTAATTCCCCATATGAATTATTATTTACTCACACAAAGCTTGTGTTGATGTCATGGAAGAGTGAGAACAAAAGGCTGGGGTGGAGGAGGATCAGAGCTGCTTCTGCTGGCAGTGACACCTGTTGATAGGGTTTTAAAGTGCTTGTGGAGCTGTGAAGCCAAGTCAGAGTCTGACTTTGCAGCAAGCTGAGTTTGATGACTGTGGAGTATCTCGAGACAGTGGATTTGACTTGCTGCTGCCTCTTGTTAAGGTCTGCTAAGTAATTACAGAGTTTGCAGCTATTGATTTTCTTCTCCCTTTTTAGCCAGAATTCATGTAAATCTCTGTTTACAAGTTTTGCTTTAGAGCACTTTAAATTCTAGGCATTTTAATGCAAATTTATGCACAGTACATATCCTTTCACATTAAAGAGAGATGGGGAGACTTTTTCAAATCAATTGAAGAGCAACCATTTGCAAATTGTATTTAAAAAAACCCAGGCAAACATGGTCATAGGTACTGGCTGGTAAATAAAAGTTATACTCCTCTAGGCTCACTTTCTGCCTAGTTTGCTGCTGTGGCAAATGTGTTAATCTTATTTTTGCCAAGATGTCATGAAGCTGCATAATTCCCAAGAACTAAGTAGTTCCTCTCCAAGGCATCATTCTGTCCATCCCCTTTTAGGAATACAGTAGGGTTATTAAAAGCCTGTAGGGAGAGCTCAAGTTGGGAATGGGAGAAAGCACATGGAGGTTTTTGCTTTCTTGTCATGATTTTTAAGCCTACTTTGATTTTTAAACCTACTTTTTTTAAGCCATTTTGGTACTCGGTTTGTGATGAGAAATTCCATCTTCCTTGAGCAGTGCTCTGTGCAATGGAGACCTTAAATCCTGCCAAAGCAGAGGCTGCTCCAGTTGGGCTGTAGAGCACTTGGTGCAATTCTTCTTCACACATTATTCCTCCTGGTTCTGCCACTGCTGCATTTCTGGTCCCTCAGTTAAGCTAGGCATTTGATTGATTGATTTTTGTACTCTGTTAACATTGTAGCATAATTGAGTGACAGTTGTGCCACAAAATAAATTGTGCAGCCTTATTGCAAAACAGAAATCTAATATGACTCATTAAAGAGGCCTTCAGAAAAAGGGGAAGAGGAGTAGGGAAATGGAGCTAAAGATGAAAAGGGATGACGTCGTGTGAGACTAGCAATGAGATGGAAAGTGGTAGAGTCTGTTTCAGGAGTGGCTTTCATCAGTATTAGTAAAATTGGGGAAAAAAAAATAGAAGTCTTTGGTGTGCTCTAGAAATGAAGGGCAATGAAATGACATGTTTTAGGTTAAACAAAACAAGTCCTTGAGATGTTTTCTTGCAGAAAAGCTAGTGATTTCTAAAGAGGTTTGGTTTTTTTTCCAAATTGTAGTACATTCCATTCATTTTATGTATTGTGGAATCTTCTGCTGAATTATCTTGGACACTGTGGAGTCCAGTGTTTTCCTCTGAATGTGGTTATTCCACTGCAGAGCCTCATTCTGGAATTGGGAGCAGCTCTCAGCAGCTTCCCAGCGGAGAAAGTGGCTGGTTCTGCCGAGGGACAGTAAGGACAGCAGAGTTCTTGGCTGCCTGGTGTTTAATAGTTTCATGTCATGGGTTCTTATATGTCAGAGCTGTAGGCTGCGGGTCCAGTCCTCTTGAATGAAAAAAAACTGTGTTATTAATTAAATGTCTGCTACTCTTTAAGTATGTTTTCCTTTTTTCTCTCATTAAGGACTTGTACCAAAAGGACAAGACCACCTTTATGTAAAGCTGTTTTCTTGTCTTTCTTTTTTTCCTATTTTTTTCTTCCACTTTTCATATGGCTTCTTAACTCTCTCAGTACTTGAATACTTAGAAGCACTGAAACCCCGATGTCCGCAGGAGAATTTGTAAAAGGGTAGAAGCTACAGATGGGGTGGGTGAGAAGGGGAAGCATACTGGTCAGAGGTTTTACTTGGATGTGCTGAATCATTGACACACCTGAAATCAGTAACATCTTCCAATTTTCTGATGTTCTTTTCTTCATACAGGTAAAGCTGTGTTCCTGGCACGAGACAAGCACCATTTAGCAGACCTAAGCCATTTGATCCGTCATGATGCCCCTTACTTATTTCAAAAATACGTTAAAGAGTCCCATGGCAAGGATGTACGTGTCATCGTAGTAGGAGGCCGTGTGGTGGGCACCATGCTCCGCTGCTCAACAGATGGGAGGATGCAGAGTAACTGCTCGCTTGGTAGGAACAGCATTGTTCATAGTTTTGATCAGAATTTTTCAATCCGGTTGAAAAAAAAAATCACAAACCCAACTGAAATAAGCTGCAGGTTTTATTTTGTATTAATTGTGCTTACTGTTGGGGGTTTACAGAGGAAACACAGGAGTGAGGATTAAGTGAGATGTGTGTTGAGCAAACACAGGAGACGCAGTCTCTACCCAAAGTATTAGATAGATAGGAGAGATGAAAAGGAGGGGAAAGTTCTAGGAACACAGATGGAGCAACTGATGTGGTAGTGGAAGTGTCATGCTAATCACAGACTGGTTTGGGTTGGAAAGGACCTTAAAGCTCATCCAGTTCCAACCCCCCTGCCATCAGCAGGGACACCTTCCAATACACCAGGTTGCTCAAAGCCTCATCCAGCCTGGCCTTCAACACTTCCAGGGAGGAGCAGCCACAGCTTCTTTGGCCAATCTGGGCCAGCGTCTCACCACCCTCTGGGTGAAAAATTCCCTCCCAATAACTCACCTAAATCTCCCTCTCTTAATTTAAAGCCATTTCCCCTTGTCCTGTCTCTAACACCATGTTATAATTAATTTCATCCTGTTAAGAGGAACAGAAAAAGAAGGAAGACAGAAGATGAGACTGAGGGGGGTGGAGGAGACAGTCAGGTGGCAAGAGGGTGGAAGAGAGTGTTAAGGGATGAAACTGTGGAAGACAATAAACAGTTGGATTGCATTGTTCTGCTGCTGTGCTGCCTTGAGTCTGTCAGGCTCCTCCCTGCAACCTTTTCCTCCAAAGACCATGTCTGGGAGGAAGAGGAGGGTTACTGCACTGATTGTAGCCTACTCACAGCTGAGCTTCTGCATAGAACAGGGAGGTTTCTGAGGATAGAAGGAGGAAGGAAGGTTGAGGTTGCCTGGCTGAAACTGTACTGAACCTGAACAGGAATGAAATAAAACGTGTTCATGTGTTCACAGTTTTGCTTAGTCAGAATGCCTGAGGGGTTTTAGTTATTACTTGATGCTGAGGAAATACAGCCAGAAAGATTTTTCTGCTAAATGTTTTTGGTTTTTTACCTTTAAAAAAAAAAAAAAAAGTGATAGATGAAGTCTGAGTTGGTTAATGCTTGGGGTGCATCCAGCACTGAGTTACGAGCCGGGCGAGGGAGGGGATCGTCCCGCTCTGCTCTGCACTGGGGCAGCCTCACCTCCAGTCCTGGGGGCAGTTTGGGCACCACAAGATAAAAAGGATCTAAAGCTGCTGGAGAGTGTCCAGAGGAGGGACACAACATTGGTGAAGGGTTTAGAGGGGAAGGGTGTGAGGAGAGGCTGAAGTCACTTGGTTTGTTCAGCCTGGAGAAGAGGAGACTGAGAGGAGATCTCATGGGGGTCTAGAACTTCCTCCCAAGGGGAAGAGGAGGGGCAGGCGCTGATCTCTTCTCTCTGGCCACCAACGAATGCCAGGAGCAGAGGAAATGGCAGGAAGATGTGGCAGGGGAGGGTGAGGTTGGCCATGAGGAAAAGGTTCTTGAGGCAGAGGGTGGTGGAGCACTGGAACAGGCTCCCCAGGGAGGTGCTCATGGCACCAAGCCTGACAAGATTCCAGAAGCATTTGGCCACCATGTGCCCTCAGGGACATGGTCTGAATGTTGGGCTTGTCCTGTGCAGGGGCAGGAGATGGACTGGATGATCCTTGTGGGTCCCTTCCAACTCACAACATCCTAGAATATTTTGATTCTATAATTCTTAGATCTAAGGACTGTGAACTGGACCAGCTGAGGTTCAGACACAAATGTTCCCTAGCTCTTGCTTTAGAGGCAGTAACCTATGATGGCAAGCTGACAGGGACATGAGCAGGTGATAGTGTCTTAACCCCCGTCCCCCTTGATCATACCTGTTAGAACTGTAGTCTTCTCAGGAACACTTGGTTTAATGTTGCTGAAAGATTTATTGTGATAACTTACAAATATGTGTGGAAAACCTCTCCAAAATCCTATGGAAGGCATCTTTTTAATATCCCAAGACCATAAAAATGTATGATATTTTTCTTGACTAAAAAGTGAACATTTAACTGGTTTTTAAACAAGTCATAATCTTGATCTGCCTTTGACAGGTCAGAATTTTTTTGAATCCCAGTATTGCCTCAGTTGGAAAAGACCTTTAAGCTCATTGATTCCAGTCACTAACCCAACAATGACAAGTCCCTGACTAACCCATGTTCCTCAGCACACCTCGGAAATCCTGCTGTGGCTTCAAGAAGTCACTGTGGAAAGGAGGTTGCTTTCTGAGTCATCAGCAATGTGTTTGCAGGCTCTCTTTGGAGCTTCCCAAGCAAAAAGCAGTTGAGAAGGATGTCAGTCACCTGTGACCAGATTACAGACAGCAAGTGTTTGTCCCCTTTTTCCAGGTGGCGTAGGGATGATGTGCTCGCTGAGCGAACAAGGCAAGCAGTTGGCAGTCCAAGTGTCCAACATCCTGGGGATGGACGTGTGCGGCATTGACCTGCTGATGAAGGACGACGGTTCATTCTACGTCTGTGAGGCCAATGCAAATGTAGGTTTCATTGCCTTTGACAAGGCTTGTAATCTAGATGTAGCTGGTATCATAGCGGACTATGCCGCTTCCCTCCTTACCCCCGGTCGCTTGACGCGACGCATGTCCTTGCTCTCTGTGGTGTCCACGGCAAGCGAGACTAGCGAGCCAGAGCTGGGCCCTCCAGCTAGTGCCGCTGTCGACAATATGAGTGCTAGCTCCAGCTCTGTCGACAGCGACCCTGAGACCACGGAGAGAGAGTTGCTCACCAAGCTCCCGGGGGCTCTATTCAACATGAACCAGCTATTAGCCAATGAGATCAAACTTCTTGTGGAGTGATGCCACGTGTAAATAGATGACCAACAGAACTCTCTCTTGTAAATTTTATTTTTATTTTTTTTTTAAACCAACTTGCAATGCTGTTTATCAGAGAAGCTCAGAGGAATGAGGAAAAGAGGAGGGGAGCGTGTCAATCCAGAGGCACGCCTGCTGTGCTTGCTGCCCCTACTTTTCTGCGGAACATAAAATTGTGTTCGTTCTTCAGCATCGTTTTGCTAATGAAGATGCTCGATTCACAACCTAAGTGGGAATTTTATTTGGATGCTGCTTTGGTTCCCCAGCCATATTGCAGTTTGTGTGTGTTCACAGGCAAGCATTGAAGCATGATTCACACTTGGAGGTTTTTCAGAAAGCTGTCTGGCAGCTCTCTAGAAACTTCTGTGAATTACTGCACCAGTTAAGTCTCTTCTACCTCTGTGAGGCTTGATCCTGTAAATTGCCGAGTGCCTCAAACTCTCAGTGTGAGCTGAAGGTGTTAAATACCAGATATTTCAAAGTTCCTGGACACCTACTGTTCCTGCTCGTCTAGACGGGAGCTGTAAGTTCAGGATCCTTTGAAAGTCATTGCTTTCTGCCCTTGCAGGATATGGCCTTTCAAATGATGAGCCTGAGCGAAGTGTCAGTTGACTTAACGTGAGCTTTCTGTACAAATCTGTAATTTGTGCCATCTTGGTATTCATTGGCAGCTTTGTGTCTTTATTTCTTTGTAAAGCTTTTGAAAGAGGATTTTAGTACTTGTGTTTTTCTCATTTCTGAATCCTTATTTTGAAAGGTATGTAGAGGAATTGGTCATATTCTATTTGGGACAGAAGTGGCACGTCTTTAACTCTATTTTTTTGCATGATTGGAGGAGATAAACAGCACTGTAATGTTTGGTGTACAAAATAATGTTTAATCCAATGTGAAAAAGAATTACACTAGTTTAAAGCAAGCGTGCATCGACTTGTATTTGTTAGTGTGTTAGTCTTTTTGAGAGAGATCTGCAATGTTAATGTTCCTTTTTCTTTAATACATGCTAGTCCAACACTCCCTTCTCTATGCCTGCATCTTTCACAGTGGCCAAAGTGAAAACACTGCACACTATTTGTTCTGAAAACACTGAGTTAAAACCTGTACATTGGTGGGGTGGGGGTGGGATTTTTTTGTTTTATGTTTTGCTATTTTGGGGGGGAATCTGGTTAGGTGTGGAGGAGCAAAAAGTTGGTTAAAAGTGATTAGACATCTAAAGGTACTTTAGAATAAAGCTGCAGTTCATACAATACTTACTAGGCTTACTTTTTCCCCACTGAATATAAAAGCTGATGTTGGCAGAAGTCCAAAGAGTATAACTGAGGAGAAATACTCAGTTCTTAGCTTTGGGAAACATGTAGCACATTTTAAAAAGATAAATTAAAAAAAAAAGGCGGGGGGGGGGAAGAAGGGGGGGAAGAAGGGAGGGAAAAGAGAGAAAAAAGGGGAAAAGAAGGGGAAAAAGGAGAAAAAAAAATAAGAAGAGGGTTCAGCCAGAATTAAAAAAAATTATATATAACCCAGGTCCACAAACAATCAACAGATGTGATCCTGGACCCTTAGGTGTGTGTGGTGTGCGTGCACACACTTGTGTGTGTTTGTGTGTGCACATTTGCTTTGCTTTATTTCTTTTTTGGATTTTGGCTCTTTAGCTCCTCATTTTTTTTCCCAGGCTGTCTGATTTTTCCTCAGTCCTTCTGGCTGTGCATTTCCTCATTAGCCTTGGGCTGTTTTGGAAAACAGATAACCAGAGCAGCTACTGAGTCCATTTTTCAGTACATATCTTCCCCCTCCTTTTCCTCCTCCTTCCCCTCCTCCCTTTTCATTCCTTTCTCATTCTCTGGGTTCATAAAGCCCTGGAACTATAGAGATATAGAGATATAGATATATATATATATAAATATAAAGATAAGCCTCTTTTTTTTTAAAAAAAAAACCAAGAAACGTTTACAATTGAAAAATAACCTTGTGAAAAGAGGGTTTGTTTGGAGGGAGGGGTTTGTGTGTGTGCAATGCTGCTGTTTTCTGGATACTTTAATGGAGCATGTCCCATGTCCCCTCTGAGGCTCTGCACTGCCCACTTCGGTGGCCCTTCCTCACCTCTCTGCTGCTCTGCTGTTTTATCTTCACTTGGACCTTAAACACAACTCACGGACACTATGCAGAGAGTCTTCAAGAGGCAATAAACAGAACACTATTAACCTGCTCTATGGAGGTTTGATCATGCTTCTTTGTACAATGTGGGGTTTTTTTTAAATTTTAAAAGGAATGTAATAAAATGGCTTTTTTTTTTTTTGTAGAATTAAATATTATTATTAAAATCAAGTGAAAGGTTGACTGTTGGTGTTAAGCAGGAGAGCGGACCAGCTGGTCCAGCAACAAAAGGAGCTTCGGCAGTAAAGGTATTTTCAAATCTTCCTGAGCCTTCAAGCGCACTGGTTATACCTGAAGTCTATAAAGGTCTTTAACTTCCATGAAGAGTTGCAGAACCACAAAACACAAAGGAAACCTTATTTTCTAGTCACTGAGCAGTAAACTCCCTCTTCCAGAGGCTCTTTACCCCTTGCTTGTTTATCTAAAGGGAATTTGGGTGGTGGTGTCTTGTATTTTTTTTTTTTGTTTGTTGGGGTTTTTTTGTCTTTTTCTTTTCCTTTCTCTTTTTCCTGGTAGGTGCCTGCATTCCTTGAGAGGCTGATAGGGTCAATCCTTCCCTTTTCAGCTTTGAGCACATGTGGTATAACAGCAGGGAGTAAATGTGCTAGTTGGTGTAGTCGGGACCTCTTTATTTCTGTCATAAGGAGCATCTTTTGGAGGAAAGAGCTGGTAACTGAACATTCTGGAGAGTTTTTTGAGTCTCCGTAGTATTTTGTGGCTCACAGGAACTTTTACATTTCTATCATCCTTTCAGAATGTCCAGGTTACACCTCACTGTAGTAAAATCAGTGACATAAATGTAAGATTTTTATTTGTTTTTATTATTTTTTTTAAGACAACAGTGGATTGAGAGATTTACAATTTGGTTCCCTTGGGATAAGGTGTTTCTCTGTGGTTGGTGCTTCCCTTGCTAGTTTGGAGATATGACTATGTGTAGTGGTCAGGGAGGGAGCCAGGGTGTGAAACATTTGTTTGGACATTGGGTGTTGATGAAAACCTTGCTTGAGGGTTCCTTGGTACAAACGTGCACACTTGTCTCGTGCATTTCCTCCTTACTTATCCGTTGCTCCTGAAGTAGTGAAATGAATAGAATGGGCTGGGGATGCAAAGGGGGGTGTCTTGTTTTTACTTAAAGGAAAAAAAAAACCCACAAAAACACCAACAAATCTCTCCTGGGGTAACCAGGCAGTGTTTCCCATTGAAGATGAATTTACAGACATCAGCTTCATACACTGTATTTCCTTCTGTTCCATATAGAATCATGGTTGGAAAAGATCTATAAGATCATCGAGTCCAACCATAAACCCAACACTCCTGAGTCCACCACTAAACCATGTCCCTAAGCACCACATCTACACGTCTTTTAAATCCCACCAGGGATGATGACTGCTGAAAAACACATGCTAGACTTCCATGCAGTTGCACTAACACTACCTCCGTATGCAGGTTTGGAAGCGTGTGTTGAAAAAACGGTCAATGTAGTGCAATCGATGGCAATAGTGTTAACACAGCTGATGGTGGTACAACTATTTTTCTCTATTTTAACGTTTGAAAGAAGGAGTTAGAAACTTTTGTTCGCAAGTTTCTTAAACATCTGATGGAATTTTGTTCTTTTTAACACTGGAGATGTTCTTCTGTTCAGCTTGCCATGTTTAGAGTTGATGTCTTGCTATGTCAATGTACGGATTGTATCTTAAGCCTTGTATCTAATGCTTTATTGTGTTTTATAAAATCTCTCCTTGGAATGTTACATCACCTCATCTGTAACACGATGTCAATGCTTGATGCGTATGTGGACTTTTAACATTTTTGTTCTGAGCTCATGGTCACTATTGGAGCATTTTCTTCCACTTTTTGTGCTTTCGTGTGCGATGCTTACTCAGGAAGTAACCCCTGGAACATCTGTCAGACATAAAGGAGATACTTCTTCAGCTGTTATACCGGACTTCAGAATCCAACAAATGAAACCAGTGACGTTTGCTAAATCTTTTCTCCCTCTTATTGCAAAAATCTGTCAAGTTAAATAAGGGACCTTAAGGGTTTAGAGAGACTTTGAAAACAAATCGCATGTGCAGTATCTTTCTCATGGCTCACTCTTTTTGAGAAGGTTTATGGGCTTTATGGCTGGTGTGAGACACACGACCCACTCCTGTTCTCTCTATGGATAGTAGGTGCTCGGACAGGTAACTTCTGTTGCTACTGTCTTTTTTGATTTTTAATTTTTTTCACTGTTCTAGGAATTGTTTTATACTGAAAACTGCAGGATTTATAACCAGGTGTTTGCTGCCTTTTCCTTTTGTTTTATTTCTTTAAGTCTTTCTTAATCTTTGAGAGTGACTTTTGGAGCATTCCGATGGTGGATCTTGGCCTGCTGTTGGAAGTCTCCAAGCCTCTCATATTTCCAATTTGAGTTGAAAAGTTTTTGTTTTCTTTATTCGTTTAAACCGATGACAAAATTACACGCGCGGATTTCGGGTGGGATTTGTTGTCGCTCTATTTTACTTGACTTATTCTCCCTTTTTTTACAGAAACGTGTTCTAACAGTTCACACTTTGTTACTGTTCTTTGCAAAACTTTTCAGGAGCCAAAAAAAGTCAAACAATCCAGAGAAAACCTTCCCTTCTCCCCTTTCCGATGGCGAGAGTGAGAACTTATGAAAAGTCCTTGAGAATGTTCCTTCCTAAACTTTTCCCCCCAGTAATGCAAGCGGGTAAAATGGTAAACGCAGCAGTTTGGTGCCATCCCAAACCGACCTGTTGTCAGGTAAATGGACTCTTTTCTGCTCTTACTTGTAACCTTCATAAGTTCGCTAACTTGTCTGCCTTCCTTTCTTCCCATCAGTTCATTGTGGTGAAACTTGTTGAATGATTTCTTTAGTGATATTTAGAAA